AATTTCTAAATCTTCCAACAAATATAACCATCAGCAGAACATATTGACTTTTAAGATCGCTGCAACTAAGTGAAAGTTAATTTAGTTCTAGGAAAGTATCGTGAGATGACGCTACTCTCATTTCCACTTGCTCTTCATTAGCTGTAAGTAATTTTCACAGCAAGCGGATTCTGAAGTATCAAAATTTACACGCCAAACATTATTAAATACAAAGGCTTTTGCTTTAGAAATCTTTGGCTTAAGTAGTAGATAAAACGACGTTTGGCAAAGAACTGACCAGCCAAACAATTTGAAAAGTTAAGATTATTGACGTGTGTATGTGCCGTAGTAGAAAATACCTTCAAAACGTGCATTCAGACGACAATACAGTGTGCGAGGGGAACGATATGACTGACTGGGTGAGAACACACATGCTGGATACTCACAATAACCGAAGGTATCCTCAAAGTTCTTTGAGAGCGTACGTACATGTACAGCTCATAGTCTCTTCGGAATTGACTATAGTCAAGCCAGAAGCGTTTTACCTCGAAGTATTACACCTGAACCTAAATGTCCTTCTACGCATGCTTGCTCACCGACCATGTACATTAAGGAGTCAACTTGCATTGGGACAGCTTGTGGACAACAGAGGAACCAAATTGCCATCGGCTAGAAATATGTATCGACTAGTAAGCTGATATTTGAAGAGAATTATTACCATTAATCAAGCTACTACATTTCGGACAAGGAGTCGAAAATATACAACTTTCAGCTATGGGCCTGTGACTTAGAGCAACAAGCTCACGATTGGCTTGCCACATGCCCGAGTGGACCTCAACTGTCAAAAGGTGAAAACTTCTATCGCGGACCAGCTAGTGGCTTATCTGCATGGAGAGATATGAACAAAAAAGTAAACATTTATTTGAACTTACAATCTTACCTGAGCAAAATGTCTTGCTGTAGGCTGTCACGGAATGGTGGAAAGTCTACCGTAATGTTAATGGTCCTGGATCAAGCGCTGTATACACCTCGTCGCACGAAGGCACTATGATAGACTCATACACTCAGGTTATCCATATTCAACATTTGCGTAGAAACACTTTTACGCGGACCTGGAAAATATGATTTTTGGTTTAATTGATTCATGTTAAAGATGGCTTGGGCTAAAACACGATATCTGGGTTGTTCCATTGCCACATGTGATGGTGATTTTGTGGAATCATGTCGTTACCGAGTTGTGTAAGTAAATAATCAAATTTACATTTCA